AGATAGATAGATAGATAGATAGATAGATAGATAGATAGATAGATAGATAGATAGATAGATAGATAGATAGGCAGGCAGGCAGGCAGGCAGGCAGGCAGGCAGACATGGATTGACTACCAACTGGGAGACATTTTTGTGAAATGGAGAATAATCCCTAAAGCTGTCAAAATTTGAAGACTGTAGCCGGACACGGTTTCCTGTGTAAGTTCTGTTTTCTGATGTGCATGCCTGTGTGTCTTATTTCTGCAGCAAACATCATGTACCTGGCAAGCCAAGAAATGAGAAGTGTTAAAGAGCGAGACAATTCTACAATAAAGCAGCATTTAAATAAGGTAGACTTTTATTTTTTACACTTTCCATCGGATACTAGGGCTGTTCGACACTTCAGATTCCACTCCTAAATGGGGGGAGGGGTGTGTGTGCAAATATAGTGATTGTGTGATGACTTAGTGATTGTGTAAAAGATACAGTAGCTTTAAAGAGTTGCAAAGAAGTGCTCTATTTGCTTTCCCACCTGCTCTGAAGCATTTTTTCCGAATTATTTCCAGCTTTCTTGTATATCTGTTTTCAAATTCACTCCATTTCACTCAGCTCTAATTCCAAATTTCAGTAACTTAATAATTATTTGCAAGATTCTGTGTACCTCATCACATCTTGTAATAGTTTAAGGTGAACTAAGAATATTTTAGAATAAAATTAACAAAATATCCCAATTTGACACCATCAGAAGAGAGAAACTAGGTATTAAGACATTATATGTTATTAATTTATCTATTTTATGTATTAATAAATTTGTGTCATTTGTATACTGCTTATTAATTTTAAAATGTCTCATAGGCTCTTTACAGCCCAAAAATATAATACAAAACATAAATCACATACCCGAAACAATCAAAATAGTTTAAGGATCATCAAGTCAAAACAAACAAGAAAGAGAATTCTGTATTTTATTTGAAGACGTGTCTTCTCAGGATGAGTCCTCCTCTGAAAGTGAATCTGCACTTCTAGCCATACCATATATGTTCTCTGAACCAAAGACCAGGACCCAAGGAGGGGGCATGAGTCACAGCTTAGAATCTCATAAGATAGAGGACCTTTTATAATAACATCTGATGAGAAGTGACATCATCTGCTAGAATGGTGGTCATTCATATCATAATGCAATTGATGCCAATTATGTAATTCACATTATTTATTGAAGGCATCATGGAATGTATCATGTCATAGCGACTTCAGCCAAATGTCCTCACCTAAATTGGCAGAAAATACCAGATTCTAGGGAACAGGGGAGATTGAGAATTCAAACTTGGGGATGCAGATGTGACTAATGAATTGGTCTACTTGTCAATGAAGCTTCCTCAGTGGTAGAGTTTGACTTACTCCTTTTGAATAGCCTAATGGCTAATAATGGGAGCCTAGATGGAGTTTTGTAAGTTCTGGCTTTACAAGCTTTTAGTTTGTAATAGACAAGGCTGGAAATAATGTTTCTATACCTTGTTTCTGGCTAACTTAATTCATTTAACCCCTGACACTTGACTCTACCCTGACTTTGGTTCTTGTATTTTGGATAATAGATTCTGTTTGATGCCTCAACTTTATTTGACCTCTTTGTATGGACCCTAGTATGGCATCTGACTCTGTTTTTCTGCTCCCTGTGAATTATTGGGCTGTGCAGTCCTGCTAACAATTTGTTTACTCCACGTCTACCCCAGAAGTATCAGCTCTATACTATATTATCTATTAATAAGATAATTAGGCTGATGAAGGATGATCTGGCTTGCTCTAGAAGGCTTCATTCATTCAAATTGTAATTATATTGTATTTATTTATTCAATTTGTATTTATACCAATCTTCCAAGTGTCAGCAAGGGGTAAACTTTAATGGATAATAACAGGGAGCCAAAGATTTTAGAGCACTTCAATCCGTATTCTCACTTTCTCAAAAAAGGGAGCGTTGATATTACTTTTCCAGGAATCTTAAACACAAGAGAAGTGTCCATACATCAGGAATAAAGGACTCCTGACATATATCTTGCTAAATGTATCTCCCTGTAGTCCCACCCAATATGCCCAATGGTAGAAAATGCTGGTTGTTCTTGTTCAAGAACATCTATATGACCATGGTCTCCATCCATCAAGTTGAGAAAGATTTGTAAAACCAAGAAGAAATGTTTAATTCAAGCCAGCCCTTTGAATTAGACCTAGAAGTTGCAAATCAAATTGGATATACTTCTTTTTTTAAAAAAGGAACCCTGCAGTAAGTTGATAATGTTCTGGAGACTTTTTTCACTGTAGTTTTTAGTTCCTTATGTTCCAGGAGTGAATCAAATGGATTAAGAACTACTTTCTTTCATTCTGATCACAGCGATGCTCAGATGTTCTCCTAAATCACAATTATTATGGCACCAATTAGTGGATTCCATCACTTCTTCTCTACCCCCATATAAGCCAGGAGAGCAAGAACCAATGGCTTTTTCCTTCTGTGGGCATGTTTTCTGAGGATTGGAGTAAGGAAGACAACAGTTCTTCTACAGGTGAAACTTGAAAAATTAGAATATCATGCAAAAGTTCATTTATTTCAGTAATGCAACTTAAAAGGTGAAACTAATATATGAGATAGACTCATTACATGCAAAGCAAGATATTTCAAGGTGTGATTTGTCATAATTGAGATGATTATGGCTTACAGCTCATGAAAACCCCAAATCCACAATCTCAGAAAATTAGAATATTGTGAAAAGGTTCAATATTCTAGGCTCAAAGTGTCCCACTCTAATCAGCTAATGAAGCCATAACACCTGCAAAGGGTTCCTGAGCCTTTAAATGGTCTCTCAGTCTGGTTCAGTAGGAATCACAATCATGGGAAAGACTGCTGACCTGACAGTTGTGCAGAAAACCATCATTGACACCCTCCATAAGGAGGGAAAGCCTCAAAAGGTAATTGCAAACGAAGTTGGATGTTCCCAAAGTGCTGTATCAAAGCACATTAATAGAAAGTTATGTGGAAGGGAAAAGTGTGGAAGAAAAAGATGCACAAGCAGCAGGGATGACCGCAGCCTGGAGAGGATTGTCAGGAAAAGGCCATTCAAGGGTTGGGGACTTTCACAAGGAGTGGACTGAGGCTGGAATCAGTGCATCAAGAGCCACCACACACAGATGGATCCTGGACATGGGCTTCAAATGTCATATTCCTCTTGTCAAGCCGCTCCTGAACAACAACCAACATCAGAAGCGTCTTACCTGGGCTAAAGAAAAACAGAACTGATCTGTTGCTCAGTGGTCCAAAGTCCTCTTTTCTGATGAGAGCAACTTTTGCATCTCATTTGGAAACCAAGGACCCAGAGTCTGGAGGAAGAATGGAGAGGCAAACGTTGCAAGATGCTTGAAGTCCAGTGTGAGGTTTCCACAATCTGTGTTGATTTGGGGAGCCATGTCATCTGCTGGTGTTGGTCCACTGTGCTTCATTAAGTCCAGGGTCAACACAGCCGTCTACCAGGATATTTTGGAGCACTTCATGCTTCCTTCCGCAGACGAGCTTTATGGGGATGCTGACTTCATTTTCCAGCAGGATTTGGCACCTGCCCACACTGCCAAAAGCACCAAGTCCTGATTCAATGACCATGGGATTACTGTGCTTGATTGGCCAGCAAACTCGCTTGACCTGAACCCCATAGAGAATCTATGGGCATTTCCAAGAGAAAGATGAGAGACATGAGACCGAACAATGCAGAAGAGCTGAAGGCCACTATTGAAGCATCCTGGTCTTCCATAACACCTCAGCAGTGCCACAGGCTGATAACTTCCATGGCACACCACACTGAGGCAGTAATTGCTGCAAAAGGGACCCAAACCAAGTACTGAGTACATATGGCTGCTTATACTTTTCAGAGGTCTGATATTGTTCTGTGTACAATCTTTGTTTTATTGATTGCATGTAATATTCTAATTTTCTGAGATTGTGAATTTGGGGTTTTCATGAGCTGTAAGCCATAATCATCTCAATTATGACAAATCACAGCTTGAACTATCTTGCTTTGCATGTAATGAGTCTATCTTATATATTAGGTTCACCTTTTAAGTTGCATTATTGAAATAAATGAATTTTTGCACGATATTTTAATTTTTCAAGTTTCACCTGTAGTCCCCTGCGCTAGAAGGGAAAGCAAGGCAGAATTCTTGTTAGTTTCACAATTTTTTTAAAAAAAACAAATGTTACATCAGTGACAAATTTGGTGAAAATGCTGGATTTCCATCTCAGGTATAAATACAAACGTCTCATTGGCATTGGTATAATTGAGTACTTGGTGTCTATGCCATCTTTTTGTGCAAAATCACAGAACGATACCCAGCACCTGAAAACCTTTGTTTATTCAGTTTGATGCAGCCTCGACTCTAAAGACAATATAATGGCAACAAGAAATGACAATATCAACTGAAACAAGAGAAAAAAGAATAAGCTGGTAACCTCAGCAGGCTCCCATACATCCCTCCAACCCAGCAAACTATCTTAGCCCAAGTCTAGGATAGGGGTGGAGCTCGGGAGCCTGTTTTCGCTGGTAGAGCGCTTGGGCCACCACAGGTTCCTCTGACACAAGGGATGTCAAGCTGCCCACAGCCTCCTTGGCCAAGCCCACTGCACCCCGCACCAAGGTCAAACACAACCCTGACGCAGACCTCAATGAAATTGAGTTTGACGCCCCTGGTCTAGGAGAATAATCCTTGTAGTACTTCAGGTTGGGAGCCACACACATCTTGGGGAGCCTCATTCTTGATGACAGGTGCTGAAACAGAGAAGGTGCCTTGCCTGGATGCTGATAAATGACATTATTTAATCTAAAGAACCTATCAGCTGAAATTGGCCCTCCAGACGCCAGAGGACAAAGGCAGCCTCTCAAACCACTAGGCCCGATGCCATGCAAGTTGACCCTGTAGTGAGCTACATGAATGAATAGCTTGACTCGGTGTGATATAACTTCCTGTGTTCCTGTAATAAGCAGCCAATGAAAGAAAAGAGGTGAGGCCATCTACAAGTGCCAAAGTCCTGCATGTGCAAGCAACTAACCATGTAGGAGGAAATTTATTGGGCCTTGGTCCAAGGTCATTCATAAAGATGAAGTGTTTTGCTACGCAACATTTTAAGTCAATATGCCTATGGAAGAACCATCTCCTCCTTCTCTTCCTCCTCTTCCTCTTCCTCTCTCTAACTTAACTTTGTTCTTTTTTTCCATCACAGGCTTATTTTTTTTATATCAACATAAAGAAAAATTGTGCAGTGAAGCAGCCAAAACCAATTCTGAGTTGCTTTTATTGAAACAGCTTGTCTACTATTGCCCAGGGATTATTATTTTTTTTAAATCCAATGTCCAAAGCTGTCCATAGCGGTCTAATAGTTATTGCCCTTGAAAGATTCATAATCTGGAAAGCAGCAGTATGGAAGACACCACAAGAGCAGACTTTCTTTCCCCAGCCAGAGTAAATTATTTCCCTCCAATTTGGAAAATCCTTCAAATAGGCTGCATGAATAAGTCTAAAACATCTTCTGCAGCCAGGAACACCTTTCATTTGGGCAGATCTCCGATGTTTTTTTGGATGGTGTATTGCTGAGGTCCAAAGTTAGAAAAGCAGCCCGAGAAGATTTTGCTATATGTAGCACTTAACCATGCTTTAGCCCACATAGCAGTGCCAATTTTGTCCTTTTGTGACCAAATCTAAATAATAGAATTGAAAGGGAGGGAGACATTGAGCTCCTGGGGAGCAGAAAGCAAAGCAGAGTTACAATAAGTGTAGTTTCTTGCACTATATTTGACCACTTGGACTTTTTTTAATAGCTTACTTCCGCAGAAGGTCTCACACGTAGGTTCACTTTCGTAATCCAAATTTGCAAACTCCTGTAGACCAGCCTTCCCTAAACCAGTGGCCTCTAGAGGTGTTGGACTTCAGTTTCCGTAATTCCTAGCAATTTGGCCATTGTGTCTGGAAAGTTGAGGATACTTGTAGGCCACCAGGTTAGGGAAGGTTTCTGTATCAACTTGCACTCATTGAAATGTGCATACTGTACAGTACTGTTAAATAATGAATATTCTAGTCAAGTTGCAGCATATATTATTAAGCACGAAGTAAAATAGATTCAGCTCATAAACAGAGTTAATGAACAAAGAAGTTTTTTTTTTCCCCCTAAAGGAAGTTCCCTTATTAAATTTCTATTTGAGACATTTCAGCATTTGAGGCCAAGGTATGAAATTTGTAATAGTAAATCGCATTACTCTTTAGTTGCACTCTAAAATCTGCCTGTGTAGTAAGATGACCTTACCATACTTCTCTCCATTTGGTTGTGGTGAGGGGCAGTGATCCATGAAGACTCCTTTTTCTCCTATCATTCTATCTGTCACTCCATCCACCACTGCCTTGCAATCCCATAGAAGTTACCTTTTTTACAGGAATATCTTTAAAATATCCATGATTGATATAAAACTATAACAGGAGCTCTGAAACATATGCAAACCAAGCCAAGTCAGTAAAAAGAAGCAAAAGTTATATGGACATTTTTTTGATTAGACTCTGCCGTCCCAATGTAGCACGAAATACATTAGACTGCAAGTCCTATCATTCTTAATTAATAGTAATAGAACACGAGTGTGAAGCATTTAGAGATAAATAGCAACACTTAAGCTTGCATCCAGTGATAATGCATTAAATCCAAAATAGAAGCATTAGATTTATTTATGACCATTACTTTTTTTGGTGGGGGGGAATACTGCAATAGTGGAAAGAGGATTAGAGGAAAGAGGTCAGCAGTACAAAAGGAATCACTCACTTAAAAATAAAACATGAATTTGATGTCTTAGCACAGGGGAGTCAACCAACAACATGACGCACACGCTGATCATCTCAAAGCAGTTCATAACTCTACCTCCTGGGCTAGTGTTATGATGGGGTGGGAAGAACTGAAGTATAAGCAAGGGAAAATGCAGACACTGTGTTCATGCAGTATCTCTGCAACCCAGAAAGAAGAAGAAACTTGCCTTTTTCGGGGATATATAGAATGGGTCCTGTTGGCGATGGTTGGTTTTTCAAGGTCATGGAATCCACAAGTTTTTAATTACACAGACAGAGATAACCTGCAAGCAAAGCACAAGATGTCAGGATGTTTTCCTTGGGCAGTCTGGATCTACTCTTATTTTCTTTGTTCACTTTTCTTCTGGGCTGTGACACCCAGTTCATGTTTTGGAGGAAAGGGTTCACCTTCCTTCCCTGCATGCTGAGATCCCAAGTGAAAAGTCATTCCCTATCTGCAGCTGCTATTTATTTAAAAGTTTTTTTAAAAAAATAAAAAAAAAGCCCTGACAAAATGACGCATTTAGTATGATGTCTGATTTGGCCCTAAAAGTAAAAACAAAAGCAACTGGAAGGCGCAACGGCCCATGCAAAGTTTGTTTGTTGCCACCCAGAGTTAATGGTTTGAGATAGGTGGCTATTCAAATGGAATAAGTAAATAAACAAACAGCCCATACTAAGTTGCTTGCTTGGAAACAAATCCTATTGATCCTCAGGTTCCAATTTTTACATCTAAGACTTTTTGTTTTGCATCCAACTTGGAGAAGCAGGAGGACTAAACATCCTGGATTTTTCTGGCAGAAGAAACGTTTCTGCCTGTAGATTGGCTAGATAAGCAGATATTTTTGAAAATCTACTGCATTCTCCACCTGTTATGTTGGTTGTGGATAAATATCCTCCCAATCAAGGGCTATTATCCTTAGTGTCACATTGGATAACTAAACAATGCAATAATTCTCAGTAGGTCTCTTTTGATTGGTTGAAAGTGTCTTACAACTTCAGAAGTCTCCACTGAAGAAATTCTGACCGTTGTCATTCATTACCTAGGTATTTCTAATACATATGTTCGATGTTTTGTCATCTACCATGATATGCCATGGCTCCTGAATTTCTCTTCGAAGCTTGGGTATTATTTATGTTTTAGTTTTTTTTCCTGGTAATTGGATTTAGCTCTGGTCTCTTTCTTTTCCTGCCACCATCTTTAAGACAGTTCTCTATTTTTATTTTAGCTGATTTTTTACTATGGAACAACTGACTCATGGTGTCCTCTGCAGTACTACGAAGAGATGAAGATGGAGTTTCTGGACGGAGATATTCGAATCTGTGAGAAAGGAATCCGCCATTCTTTTGTCTTGGATTCCAGCAAAGAAATGGCTGAAATGATAGTAGGCTGGATACAGAACGATCTTGCCAAGCTATGATGAAGCCAGAGTAGACAGCAGGAGGAATTAGCTGTATTGTGACCATGTAATCTTCCTTGATAATCTTCTGTCTGTGCATTATGGTTTGCTTTTTTCTGGAAGCTCTGGTGTTAACCCGATAGCTCATATTACATTCCTGTAGATAGGTTTCTAAGAAATACCCAAGGTAAGGTTGCAAACACACGGGGATGACTGTATAATTCCAGAGCCCTGAATTCCTTTAGGCTAGTGTCAGCCTCCCTCTACAAACAGTGACTATCTGTTCGGGTAACTCACAGGATTGTTGTAACAAAAAGAGAGACAGAGAGATCCCCTGACCTCCGTGTGCCATCTTGATTTTCCAAATTTATGAATTAATGAGCCATTAATTTTGTGTCTAGCTAGCACATTGTCTCTTACAGGATTGTATGAATTATTGCATCGGGTGTTTAGATCTTTTGACATATAACCCCCCGTCTGTTCATCAACACCATTCATTCTGTCATAACATTGTAATAGTATTGCACCCATAATTGTCTCCCATACTGTTGTTGAGGTGGTATGGGTTAGAATTGACTGTCACTCACCATTGGGGGAAAATACCATATAAATTAGGGTGATGATATTAGAATACAAATCACTAAAAAAAAATTGTTATTGCTTAAAGTAATTTCAACTTCCATTGTGACAGAAGACATATATTTGGTGTGCAGAAAGAAGAACTATGTTGCTTACAAGCAGAACCAACAATGATGTTTAGTAAGATATAGTACTTCTTACCTTGATCTATGACCACAATTGAGACCGGATATTTCATTCGCTAAGCAGAGTGGTTGTTATGCAAGTCATCACATGATTTTATGACCAGGTTTACCACAGTTGTTAAGCAATTTCAGGCGCTTGCAACATGGCCACTTAACATGGTTGACCACAAATCGGGATCATATCGATCAGCGGACCCTGCACCAGTAGTAAACATGAGACAGTTGCCAAGTTCCCAAATTGCAATCATGTGATATAGAGGCAGTATTATGGTTTTGTGAGGACAGGTCATAAATCACGTTTTCCATGGCTATCATAACTTTCAGCTACTGTTAAATGAGAGGTTGTTAGGTCAAGAACTATCTTGACTTAACCACTATCTGTATTGAGAAAGATCTAAGTGCACTGGTTAGAGCTTTGCAAATATTAAAACTGGAGTTGCATTTTGTCTACTCCACTTCATTCAGGGCCCTTAACACCTCAATACCCAGCCTGTGGAATTGTGTTTTCTATATGAACAACCTTCTGCCTCAGACAGTGGGAATAATTGTTGAGTTACAGGTAATCCTTGATTTACAAATGATTGCTTAGTGCTTATCTATGATTCAAAATTACGATCTACCTGAAAACATGGAGTTATAACCTATTTCTGTGGCTCCAATAGTTGCTCCTCTTGTGATCACGTGACTGCACCTCAGGGGCTTGCAGCACACTCACATGTCATGTGACCATGTTTTATGACTGTTTTGCCAAAAACTGGAAGTTACGGAAGTCTCTGTTCTCCATTATAGAAAACAATGAGTTTGCTTAACAGTCACCGCATTTACTTAGCCAACTACCGTATTTGATTAACAACTGCCACAAAAAAGGCCATTAAAAAGTGTTGGGCAGGCCTGGTCATATGTCAAAGATTGCCTATATATGTTATTTTAGAACTGCTTTTAGAACACACAGAACTTGTACGACATACTCCTTTTATTAGCTTTTTTCTCAAGAAGTCACTGCTGGGTATGAAATAATTCCTTTCCCATTTCCTTTTTTCCAGTCTTTGTGATTTTTGACAAATCACAAAAACAAGAAACAAGTATATTCATGCTTGTACTTTGGGAATTTGGGAGGAAAAGAAGCTTGGGATTACCTGTCCACTGTAATCTGATCCCAAAGCAGTCTTCTTCTTGTCTGCCCCATTATTTAGTGCAGCATCCTGTGTTAAAGGCCATGTTTTATGCTTGTCATTGTCTCCCTAACCTTGAACACTATTTAAGCTAGGGTAGCCCTGTGATTCTGAGGGGAGACTAATGGAAAATTGTGCACATAGACATCGGATTTCTTTTTTTTTTTTTTTTACATCTGGCCCACCCTGAAAAAAAGCCCAGGGCACAACAACTGGAGTCCTATTTCCAACAGGACCGCTATCTCCTGCTGGCCAAGAAAAGAAAGAAAAAGGAAGCTGTTTGTCACTTGGGTCACATTTTTGCAAACTTAGGAGTAGTGTTTGGATGCTTGGGTTGGCTGGTTCTGTGCTATGCGATTCCCCCACCCCACCCTCAGGAAAACTCCGAGCTGATAGCAGACAACCAAGAGAGCGGCCATCTTGGCGGGAAGCCCAGGCGTTGCTAAGGTGCCTGGGAGGCTCCCCCTATCCGATGTGTGATAGTGGTGGTTGTTTTAATCATAGGGGAAGGGATTCGTCTGTTGATTGAAGCCATTGCAGGCAAGATGGGCACCAGGTTTAACCAGCTCCATCCTCTTCTCAGCTGGCTTCATCCCCGCCCTTGTGGCTGCAGGGAGTAAAAAGAAAAAGGATTACTGGGGGGACTGGCCTATCTAAAACATGAATCTTAATTTAGCCTCAGGGCCAGCAGCATTTATTCTTTGCAGGTTTTTCTAATGGGGGCAGTTAGTTTAATCCAAACCAACCCTGAGGATGTTTCATAGGACAACTACCCTTATCTAGCCCCACTATTGCCTGGGGTTAACATATCAATATAAATCTCTCCACCACCATCACACCAGTAGGTGTGTATAAACAGAGCCACAAAATATTTACCTCAGGGCTTTGACAGGGTATCATGTTGAACTGTTATAAAACTTCAAAAAGAATATTAAATGTTCTGGCCTATATATACATGTATATATATATTACTTGGGCAGATATTAGTTTACTGGGAATCCAAGTGGTATAAGCATGACTAGCATTGTATCTAACATTGAAGGAGTGGTTTTGGAGTGTAAAAAGCTAATCTGTATGGTTATTATATTTACATAACTTGGTTGTTTGTATACAGTTTTGTTCCGTGGTCTCATTGAATCCTGGTGTTTTGTAGATCTAAAAAAAACATATTCCTACAATGTTTTTGTGTGTAAGATGTGGTCAGGCAGAGGAACATTTATAACCTGGTAATAACAGCATTGCCTGCCAAAAGGAAAACTTAGTTCTTTAAGCATTCGATATTAAATTAAAAACACCCAGCACTGACTATAGGACACTTTCGTGCAGTGAAGTTTGATCCATCTGTAACAGTAACAGCCTATTTTCAGAATATGATGCTTATTAATTTTGCTACTCTTTTCATTATCTGGTCATCTCAAGAAGCCAATCTTGGAACTACTGCAGTATTTCCTAATAGAATTTTAATCAGAGATTCATTGCCTGCTTTTACTTGAAACTTAAAACGTTTGTATTCACTAATCATTTACATATGGGCATAAAGGAGTGTGATAATTTAAACCAATTTTGTACATTACAAATTGCTTAATGCAAAATACTAGTTTATTTTAAGAATTCTTGTTCTTTAATAATATAGCTACCTTCTTCTTGCTTTCTGTATTTGAAAGAGTCCTTTGATCTTTGTTTCAGAATGCTGTTAGCCCAATGGCAGAAAACTGGAATTGATAAGTGATGAATAAACATTCTTTCTCATTTTAATTTCGAATTAAATGGAATAAATTAAACTGGGCCAGAGCGAGTACCGTTTTACAGTCAGTTTCTACCTTTGTTCAGAAATAAACACAACACTGTTAATTGCTATTCATTGCTTTGTAAGTTTCAAAATATGTTTCTATGCAGCAGTGGTTTTACACTTGGCAAGTTTTAAGACTTGTGGACTTTAACGCCCAGAATTCCTGAGCTAACATGACTGGAGGAGGAATTCTGGGAATTGAAGTCCACAAGTGTTAAAGCTGTCAAGTTTGAGGACCCCTGGGATGGAGGAAAGGATTTGACTTGCGGGGGGGGGGAGTGGATTTGCATTGGGAGTACCCAGCAAAAAAAAAATATGATTGATTGATTTGTACCCCACATTTATTATTTTGACAAATAATTCAAGGTTATGAACATATCCAACACACTGTCCTCCTATTTCCCCCCCCCCCCAAAACAAGGTGGGTTGGGCTGGGAGAAAGGGACTAGTCCAAGATCACCCAGCTGGCTTTCATGGCTAAAGTCGTGAAAATGGTAAAAGGAAAAAAAAATCATCTTTAACACATCTTCTATGTTTCCCTTAGATAGCTTCCCTTGTGTCTTATTTGCACATTTCTAGTTCTGAAAGAATTGCTCTCATGTTCCATTTTTTTGCAGATTGAACAAAAGACACATCATTGAAGAAGCCAAAACTTGGGACTCTATAAATGTGGTTGGAGTGAAACAGAGTGACTGTTCAATTAAAGCGTCTAGTACAAATGAGGGCTGGACAACTCTTGTTTTTAAACCACTGAAATGATCAGGTCTTTTTCATGAGTTGAAAAGCTACTCCAGAAGCTACTCCCATCTGCTTAACAAAATAAATGGGTTGCATGTGTACATATGTGCGTGGGAGGCGTGAGTGAATCTTGCAAAAGATTCACTGGCTTTACTGAGTCAAAACTAGTACTATTTTATCCTTTCTGGAGGATTTGCTCAATCCTATACAGATAATTATAAAATGGAATTATATTAATTCATGAAATTTTTGACATTTCTTAATTTCCATACTTAACGAATTGATCATGAACTGCTGGAGGGAAGTAACAGGGTTGGAGAATTGACTCCCTAACCTGCTTGTGGCTTTTCGCATAAAACATGGTGGCATAAGGGCAAGTCCGTCATCAGTCACAGTGCCTTTAGGCCAATCACTCTCTCAGCCCATTCCACCTGACAGGGTTGCTGTTGATGTGAGAGAAAATAAAAGAAGGAAATGTTGGATATTCTGCCTTGAGCTTCTGAAGAAAGGCAGGATGTAAATCAAATAAATAAATAAAAATTTTCCTTTACACAATTTCTCATAATAATAATTTGAGTGAGGAACTTGCTTTTAAAAATTAAATGTAATTGTTGCATTTGTAAAAAGCTATACTGCAGAAACACTGAACATTCTCCATATGAATAGACTATATCCAATGAGCACTGTAAGATTTCTAAATGTTTATATCCATCTACATACACATTTATATTATAAACATTATGAGCATTAGATAAATTAGCACACTATTTCTATTTACTTTTCTATTCTGATCTTCTTATTCTAATTGGTCCACTGCAAAACACTTTGTTTGAATAACAGAGAAGAATGTGGCTGTTAATAAAGCTACTTAACACTGTGTGGAATGATAAAAACCCACTTGTACCCTGGAGGCTATCATTTTATTTTCAGGGTCACAGGGTCAAGTTAAGACTTGGGATTATTGTGTGCCCCAAAGCCTCTTTATTGAAATTTAGGCAATGTAAGAACCCACTGAGAGTCTCCTAGTGACCCAAGAGTAATTAAAGCAGTCCATAACATTGAAAGAGAAAGCTATAGAGTGGGAATATAGAGTGACTGCCAAAAGTGGCTGCTGCTTTAAACAGTGGTCATGCGGAATTTATGGAGCAGGTCAACTCATGTATAAAATGAAACCATGGAGGGGTCCTTGTGTAAAAAAAAAAGAACACAGGCAAGAAGTGTTAGTCATTGACATGACCTCCTTAACATTACATGATAAAAATGATATATTTTTTTATGTTTGCGTATATTCAGTTCTTACTAATAGTTTTACCACCCATTTGCATTTTCTTCTTCAGCTAGAAATATTTTATTCTGTCCAAGACGGAGAGGGAGCTGGAGGGCTTCCCATTTTGCATGTTATAAAGAACCCTAGTAGGATTCTGGAGATGCTAATTCATAGCCCACTGAAGCTTAAATAAATATTAAAATGCTGCCCACATACTGATAGGAGGAAATCCGTGGTGTCCTCTTTTCCTTTAGTTATCCTGTTCCTTGATTTCATTTTAATGAATAACTAGTCTGGTTTTAAGCAAGACAATTCTCTGGAAAGAGGACAGAAACAACTGCCACAACAGGAATCTCTTTACAGAAGCTTGAAGTGGAAATCTAACAATAGAGCCGTGGTGACGCAGTGATGTTAGAATGCAGTGTTGCTGGCTAATTCTGCTGACTGCCAGCAGTTCAATTCTGACCGGCTCAAGGTTGACTCAGCCTTCCATCTTTCCAAGGCTGGTAAAATGAGGACTCGGATTATTGAGGGCAATATGTTAACTGCTTAGAGAAAGCTGTAAAACACTATAAAGTGGTATTTAAGTCTAAGTGCTATTACTAATGTGGAACATAGGCCGTTTGAAAGAATGGAGGCACACAGCTTGACTTAAATTGCCCGATACAGAAGCAATGGCTTCTAGATGGGTCTTATAATTAGACAAAATGTGGTGACATCAGCCCCACTAGGTAGACCAGATCAAGAAATGAACTCCACAGGAAGGCTAAAACTGTTGTTATTGAGACTTGCTATAGCAGAACCCTGCAAGTCTGATTGTGCTGTCCCTCCTTCCACTTTTATACTTAAGTAAATTAGGGAGGCATCTCTTTCAAATATTATCCCTATGTTGTGACCTTAAAGTATGTCTTACCCCTTGTCCTCCTGACAGTGGTGCTTGTACATCTTCATCAAGGACATTTTCCTTACTTTCTACAGGTAATCACGTCAAATGGTGGAAACTCCCCCACACATATCTAAGTTTAGTCTCTTCCCTTAGCGTACAGGTGATGTGGTGAGAGAGGCGATTCTTACACATTGGAAATGAGGCAGAACCTGGAGTCAGAAAGCCAGAATCTTATGAACCCACAGAGGTTACAGAGCTGACTTACCAAATATTGAATGGACATCATCTTAAGAAACGGTTTATTGAAGCACTGGCTCATTCTGACAGATGAGTGCTAGGATAGAAAAAAACATGTAAAAGGTTATCCACCTTTTCTTCACCACGGACCCCTTTTAAATACCTTTTGCGGCCATGGATCATGGCCACAGATTCCCAAGACTTAAGATTTAAATCATAACATTTCTTCAAGCCTTCGTGCCCCCCCCCCCGAGGGGCCGCAGACCACAGGTTAAGACCCACTGCCATAGTGGTGCAGGCAGAAAAAAGTCCCCCTCAGCTGCTCAATCCAGCATTTATCAAGTGTTGAAACTTCACTAACCTACCATGACTGCTGGTGCTGCTAACATTATATTGCTGACATTTAATACAGAAATAAGACTGAACAGTCAGTCCTGTTAAGCTTTAGTATCCAAAATGCAGAAGGGTGGGTGGAATGTATAAATTT